GCATGACTTTACAATAGGAAGAATCGCCGACAGCTCTGTCTGGTGCAGGGTTGCCAGTTTTTCGCTACAAAACCCGCCCAATTACTACTCGAAACTAGCCTTAAAATAGCCCAATTGCTTTCGAGGGGGTCACCCAGTAAAAATCGCGTTCGGGGGGGGGGGGGAAAATACAAATTTTTTTGGTGGGGTTCTCCTGGTACAATTCACATTCCAGGGCCTAAATATCACGTTATTAGGGTCGCTTCAACCTGCTGACATAAAAAACAACCGGCGGCAATCGCGGATTTGGCAACACTGGTCCGCAAACTACGTTTCATATAACTCCTCCCCGAACTTCCCGCTGCCCTGTATCTTGGCCTCTCATTGGCTGTAGGTCATCGCCAATGTGTTTTTCAGTCATAACTAATTTCACACAGCGTGATTGTGAATCGCCGACAGCTCTAGATATTTAGCGATTTTGCAAAACCTGTTGGCGAGTGAAAAATCGTGCTAAAATCGTGCAGTGTGAACTCGGCATGAGTCTCGTCCTGCTGGGAGTCGGCATCACAGTATGTTAAAGGGGTCCTATTATGCTCTTTTACAAAGACTTGATTTTGTTTTGGGGGTGTACTAGAACATGCACTCATGCTTGGCATTATTTTTCACATAATTTACATTATTAAAATACCTTTCTCCCCATCCTGGCACAAACGGCTTGATTAGTACCGGCTTTGATGAAGAACAAAATGTGTTGTGATTGGTTAGCTGTCCCAGTGCGTTGTGATTGACGAACAGCTTAGACGGTGTTTTAGTACTGCCATGCCCCTTGTCTTTCAACAAAAGCTTTTTGACGAATCCGGCACTGTACTCCCTCATGTTGTGGAAGCTGTCCTCAGTAAAATGTAAATGGACAGAATTAAAAGGGGGATGTCGTGGCCTAATGGTTAGAGAGTCGGACTCGTAACCCAAAGGTTGTGGGTTCGAGTCTCGTACCGGCAGGGGTTGTAGCAGGGATTGTAGGTGGGGGGGGGGAATGTACAGCGCTCTCTCCCACCTTCAATACCACGACTGAGGTGCCCTTGAGCAAGGCACCAAACCCCCAACTGCTCCCCAGCCGCCGCACACACACACTGCTCCGGGTGTGTGTGTGTTTACTGCTGTGTGTGTGAACTTTGGATAGGTTGAATGCAGAGCACTAATTCCAAGTATGGGTCACCATACCTGGTCACATGTCACGTCACGTCACTTTTAAAAAAATAAATTGCAACCACTTTTTCCTGACATCATCCGCTTTCGGAAGCCCAAACAAAGACGTTTGGGCACGGAGGTGAAAAAAAAACAGTGTTTCAGGCATATAGCACAGCAGCTCTTCTTCTTCGTTTTCTCTGATGCACTCACTCAACCAAGCATTCTAACCACAACCTCGCCCCTCCCCTCCCCCCAACCATTCGAATTTCTGTAGGCGGGAATTATTTTTAATGACATTCTAAAGAGTCGCTTTGTGATATCATTTTAAAAAAATGAAATACCTCTCTTTGGAGTGGACTTTGAGATTTGTAACTTTCTAGATCTTTTTTATGCCCAAACATACACACTAAAATTAAAAAAGTGAAAAAGCATAATAGGACCCCTTTAAAGGTCCCCTGAAATAAGAAACACGCAGTGTGTTGACGTAATTTTAACTGAAACAGGAAGACAGGGCGGGACATATCAAGCAGCCCCGCCCCTTTTTAAAATAGCCAATAGCATTCGTTTATATCACAGCTTGGGCAAGAGCCGTTCAGAGCCGTTGAACTCCGCAAAGCCGCATTTGACAGGGTATGCCAGCCCAAATTTCATCCATATTATAAAATATAGCATTCTGTGTAGAATTCAAATAGCTCCGATACATTTTGTGGTCTGCGCCTACTCGCGCATGTGATCCGCTCCGTGTTATTGTGTCTCTGGACCAGAGCAGAGTGTGTTTGCGGCGCGGTGGTTAGCGTGACAGGTCGCTTTTTTAAAACGATGAGCTTTGTAAAAATCAACACGTTTCAGAAAGGCGGGGCATAGAGGAGAAACAATAATGTGCATTATATGGAAAATAATGTGTTTTTTGAACCTTAAACCGCATAAACACATTGCATTACACCAAATACACAAAATAATGTTCTTTTTAGCAACGTCATATGACCCCTTTAAAACAGAAAACAGCTATTTAAAATGACAGTAATGTTTCACAGTGTCAAATAAATGCAGTCTTGGTGAACATAAAGTCTTTTATGAAAGTCTTAACATTTAAACTCTACCGTAGCTCCGATAATTTGATTTAAGATTTGAAAATTATTTAAGCTCATATTGAAATCTCAGACTTTTGATTGCAGATCTCTTCTGAAACTCTAAAGGAGAAAAATGCGAGAAGCAGGAAATGTCTCCAGTTGTTTATCAATCAATCAATCAATCAATCAATCAATCAATCAATCTCACTGCTCTCTGGGAGAAATCATTATTCTCAAAGTGTCAGATTCAGTGGGTGACTAAGTTTAACTGTAAACAAACACGCATGCAACAAGTGTTTTCTCACGTTACATCCACACATGATTTCTGACATATCTCTGCAACACAGCAGTTTATCTGCTGATTCCTCTGGGAGTCATACAGAAACCAGCTCTGATGTAATAAATGGGCTGTTTGTGTGATCCGGAGCTCAGTGCTCAATGCCAGGGGTTTCCCTCAAGCAGAAACAACTTTCTCTGGCATAGGACACTGTTTCATCATTCATTCTTCAGAAACGGCAAACGCACACATTTATGAGAAACAAACAACAGGGGTCTCGCGCTGGGATTCTTTTACGTGTTTGTGTTTTGTTGTCATAGTTCACAAAACTAGGTAATTATAACGGCAGAACGTGATGTTTGTGAGGGAAGCATTGCTGCTGGCAAGTGCATGGGTGCATGACCAAACCACTTTCGTTTAGACTGTTGAAGTGTAGCTTTCAGAAAGGAAAATATGACACTGGACTGATTGTTATTCCAAATCTCTTGGCAAAAACGTTGCAGATACAGTCACTTGACTTCTAATATCCCTAGCTGCAGTCATGATGTAAATGTAAGGGAATGAAGTGAATCTGAGATCACTTTTCCTGTGTATTTGAATTCCAGTGCAAAGACAAAACATGAGGGTGCGTATCAGCGCTGTTGGAGACACCATTGTATTGAAGTTCATCCGGCCCCATGTGGACACCAGACTGGAGGGATATATCCTGGGCTACGGCAGCAGCATGTTCTCCAAGCAATTTATCCAGCTACCCGAGGATGGGCAACCCTATGAGACTGAGATAGGTACTGTCTTTATTTCTAGCCATCTTTCATAGAGTTGTTGTTTATTTAACAGTTTCTTCTGTATTTTCTAGATGCTGAGCCCAAATATCTGATTGCGGTACAGTCGAAGATTCCTGAGGAACCTAAGAAAAAGTGTGCAGGTAAGCAACACGGTGCCACAAATGAAATTAGATCTGTGTGTACACTGATCCCAAAAAGTATTTGGACACTTGAACCACACTTAAAAAGAATGCCGTTGCATTATTGCTTCTATACAACAGTTCAGAAAGTTGTTGGCCTTCAGTACACTGCAAAATATATATATATATTTTTAAAGTTGTAAATAAAGATTATTGATGGGAATCTATCTTGAACATTGTTTTACTAGAAAATACTATCATAGTCTTTCTACTTGAAAATTTCACGTTTAATTCAGTGTGTTACTTGCCATTTCTTTGTAATTAATTGTGAAATTTACTAGCAGTTTCTGAGTGAAAACTGTGTAATGAATTTTAGCTGATTACTGACGTGTGACCTCCAGGAAAAGTGGATCTAGACAAACCATTGAACGTTGTGATTGGCTCGGTAACAGAGTCCTCAGTGCTGCTGTCCTGGGGGACACTACTGACCAGCCCCTTCATGGATACCGTTCTAGAAGACTGTTTTGATGAAGGGTATGTGTCCTCGAGTGTCTATGTGTGCAAATCTATGTACCGTGTGGGTGTTAATCTGGATTGAATCAGTTTGTTGTTGACCTTCTCTCAAGATGTGCAATTATTACACTGACAGAAGACACAAAGCAGGTACAGGATCATGTGTGCAGATGCCCATGTGTTCCAGAAACAGCCAGACACTCTGATCACACACATTTATGGGCAAAAAAACCCAGACTTTAATAAACTAAACAGTATCAGAAAAAGTAAAAAAGAAAATAAAAGAAAAAGGAAACCGTAAAACACAGTAATAAAATTAACAGATGTTTGGGTGGAAAAAAGAATTTGGGTGTGTATGTATGCACAGACGAATACACATATTTATTTTTTTATATCGTTGTTGGGATTTCCATAGATTGTTTCTTTTTTTCTGAACTCATGATGTTTTCTATCTCCTGCATGTTTATATTTTTGTAAAGACATCCTTATGAAGTCATTTTGCTCATAGAGACTGTTGGATGCTCGCTGCAATGCAGCTAATTTCAGTTTTTACTGTCCTTGTGGGGACATGTGGTCCCCACAGCGTAGGCACAATGTGACCCACACACACTGTCCTTGGACACGTTAGTGGAAAGCTTGACCTCAGCTCTCTACAAAACAACTAATTTGATCCCTCTGAACCATAAAAACCTTATAAATGCCAGAAGGAGAGAGAGGTGCTGGAAAATGAAAAAAAGGGTAAGCGGGGGCATCTGTATACATAAATAATATCTGAGTTTAGCCCATTAGTGCCATATCATGCTGATATTATATCTACAAGTGTGAGTTATTCAAACCGGAGATCGATTTTTCGTGATTTGACTGCCATTTTAAATCTAGTTTATAGATTCTGGTTTGCCATTTTGTCTCCTCTCAGACAGTTCACAGTGCGCTACAGAGAGAAGGAACCCAGCAATACCTGGAACTACCAGACCTGTCCATCCACCAGCACAGTCATCGACAACCTCAAACCAGATGCTCTGTATGAGTTTGTGGTCCGAGCAGACACCGACACAAACAGTGGAGTCTGGAGTGCACCGGTCATCCATAACACAGCTGGTGTGACCCACTACAAATCATGCATTTTGCAACGAGTCCTAGTTAACAATTGTCTTGTTTGTTTTTGATTTCTCCTATGGATGTTTAGAATGAATATCTGACACAAAACTGATATTTAAATGAAACATACTGTAACTAAGACTTTTATTGATTTTTCCCTCACAGATCAAATAATAGAACCATTTAAGGAACTGAACCAGGCGAAGCCTAAGGTAAGTAAATAACTGAGTTTAAGAACAACACTTTTGTTCTCTTGCTTGATCTTTTATTTAATTTGGATATTGCTTTCTAAACAGAAGCCAGTCTTAGCAAGCCAGCAATCATTCTTGCCACCAGTGCCAGGTAAAATACATATTTTTCCTTCCTAAACACAATCACTGATAGTAGTAATGAATATAAAATATTGAATGATTTTCCTGCCACTTTCTAGTTTTAAACAACAGTAACCAGACCAGAGTAGCCCCTCTATTCAAATACCCTAGCCTTCCAAAGCCAAGCAAAACATCAGGTAAATGACATTCTCTCACCTTTGAAGCCAAGCAAAATATTACATTAGCAGAATGGAATACAAGCATAATGCACACCACATACTGAACAGTATTCACTGCATACTGCTTACTATTTTTTAAGTTGCATGTAAAACAGTATGCAACATTTGAAAAACTTGTATTCTGCTTTTATTGCCCCATTAGCAACATACATATTTTAGTATACTGACCTCCAGTCATCTCGAAAAGAAATGTGGTTATTTTGCATTCTTATTGATTTGCTGTAAAAATTTGCTAAAAAAAAAAGAAATTACAATTTAAAAATTGAGATATATATACCGTATACATATGCAAACTACAAAAATAGTATAAGTATGCCACAGTATACTATAGTTTGCCATTCTGAACATACCCATTGTCTCTTACTCTGTAAACTTTGAACTATTTTTTCCCCCATATATTTTCAGAACACTTCTTGCATGTGAAAAAGCCACATTCCTACCTCTCTCTAGATAAAAAAGAAATGTGGTTATTTTGCATTCTTATTGATTTGCTGTAAAAATTTGCTAAAGAAAAAGAAATTACAATTTAAAAATTGAGATATATATACCGTATACATATGCAAACTACAAAAATAGTATAAGTATGCCACAGTATACTATAGTTTGCCATTCTGAACATACCCATTGTCTCTTACTCTGTAAACTTTGAACTATTTTTTCCCCCATATATTTTCAGAACACTTCTTGCATGTGAAAAAGCCACATTCCTACCTCTCTCTAGATAGAAAACAATTACTTGTTTTTTTTATGACCACACACACCTGGGTTTCTTTATAAAATAGAGAGCCTGGATCGACATTATAACTAATATGACAATTTTTTTGCTAAGTTTCCAGCTTTAAATGTTTAGACACCTTTAAACACTAAACAAACCAAGTAAACCTGCTTTTACTCAAATTAATTGTCCATCTATGTAAAACAGACTAAACGATTCTTCTGTTTTATGTCTGTGACCTAAACTGTGTTTTAAATTGAACCGCTCATACTGCACATGTAGTAGGTCCCCTGTCACAGTAATTTTCAAGATACATTCCAAATAAATGTCCTTCATGTGTATCATAATTCCATATGCCAGATGTGAATTTTCTGAAAGACGCACAAGCTGGAGGAACTGTTGGAGGAAAAAACATCATCTAATGATTATAATCACTTTTCTTCAATACAAATTAATTCCTGCTAAAGGATTTTATTAAAACCTAAAACTGTCCCATTAACTTCCCATTAACTTCATTAACAGGAGAGCTACATGTCTCATTATCAACCAATTGAAATCAATGCCTTTTTATTTCTGTTCTTTTCCAGTGTGTGCCATTTTCATTGAATGTCTGTGACAGAACATTTCTTTTTCTACAGTTTCATCAACAGGGGGAGAAAATACCACAACAGTTCCTGACAATCCACCTACCTCAACCAAGGCCCTTCCTTCCTCTCACACATCTATCATTCTGCCCACACTAACGACCACAAGCACAGTTCGACCTCGAAACCCCACCAGTCATCCCAGTACAACCCAAGCAGATCTTCACAGAGAGCAACATACTAGCATAACCCCACAACAACCTACAACATCTCAGCCACAACCTTCCAGAACCCAACAACAAACCAGCTCAACCCAACAACCATCCACTACAATCCAACAATATACCAGCAAAATGCAAATCTCAGTCAAAGATCAACCAATTACAGCCAAACAGCTGCTGAATACAGCCCCACAACAGTTTAGTGAAACATCTTTCCCTAATCCACCTTCAACCAAACCACCAATCCAACAAACCCAACAACGCACCACAAGCACTGTCCAGGAACATCCTCACCCATCTAAGAAACAAGACCATACAAGAAAAATTCAACCCAGCACCAGGCTGCATCGACTGAGCACAACCCAGCGTTCACGAGGCACGTCCAAACACCCAACCACTCACACTTATTTTCCAGAAACCACTTCTCACTACCAGTCCAGCACAATTGCACATTCTGAACAGCCAAACACCAAACCACCACCAACAACACAGGATTGGTCCACAAATAGCCATTCACCGACAAACACAGCTTTGACTTCACCCACTACTTTAGCAAATATTGTCTTAGTAACAGAACAGCAAACAGATGTCTTAGTATCACAGCTGAAAACCGATGTTAGCAAACATCCAGTATTTAGCACTAATCCATCCATCCTTGAAGAATATTCTACATCCCATATTCCCACAACTAAAAATCCATTTCTTACTGAGAACATACAGGAACTGACACCACATCCAATATATCTACCCATAACCTTTTGGTACCAGTCCAGACCCAGCACCACAACAAAGCATTCCAGCACCACTAAACGGCAAGCTAGCACTGCTAAATACAATCCAAAAACAGACTCCCAAGTTGAAAATCGACAACCTGCCCCTGAAGAATGGTTGCCAGGTACCCCAAAAACCCTACTAAACCTCACACCTGAAACAGCTTTCACCAAATCCGATGCCATTCAAAACTCACCTGTGGCGGAGAGGTTAACAGTGGGGACGAGTCATCCGAGTCAACCAGCGGGTAACTTCTCCCCTAGACATACAGTATGATTTAGAAACAGGCTAGTTTCAGTAATCTGAAGCAATCCAACAACTTAAAATTTAGCCCTTAAAAGGATAGTTCACCCAAAAATGAAAATTACTTCATGATTTACTCACCCTCAAGCCATCCTAGGTGTATATGACTTCATTCTTTCAGACGAATACAATTGGAGTTATATTAAAAACTTTCCTGGCTCTTCCAAACTTTATAATGGCAGAGATTTTGAAGTTCAATAAAGTACACCACAAGGCTCCGCAAAAACCCTACTAAACCTCACACCTGAAACAGCTTTCACCAAATCCGATGCCGTTCAAAACTCACCTGTGGCGGAGAGGGTAACAGTGGGGACGAGTCATCCGAGTCGACCAGCGGGTAACTTCTCCCCTAGACATACAGTATGATTTAGAAACAGGCTAGTTTCAGTAATCTGAAGCAATCCAACAATTTAAAATTTAGCCCTTAAAAGGATAGTTCACCCAAAAATGAAAATTACTTCATGATTTACTCACCCTCAAGCCATCCTAGGTGTATATGACTTCATTCTTTCAGACGAATACAATCGGAGTTATATTAAAAACTTTCCTGGCTCTTCCAAACTTTATAATGGCAGAGATTTTGAAGTTCAATAAAGTACACCACAAGGCTCCGGGGGATTAGGCCTAATAAAGGCCTTCTAAAGCAAATCGATGCGGTTGTGTGAGAAAAATATCCATATTTAAAACTTTATAAACCGTAATCTATAGCATCCGCTAACTGTCATGCGCGCATTCACGAGAGAGTTGCGTTCCAGCAAATGACTCCGGTTGTATTCGTCTGAAAGAATAAAGTCATATACACCAAGGATGGTTTGAGGGTGAGTAAATCATGAGGTAATTTTCATTTTTCCATGATCTATCCCTTTAAGACAGAAGTGTCAAGTCCTATTCCTGGAGGGCCGCTATCCTGCAGAGTTTGTCTCCAATCCAAATTAAACACCTGAATCAACAAGCCATCCTAGGTGTATATGACTTCATTCTTTCAGACGAATACAATCGGAGTTATATTAAAAACTTTCCTGGCTCTTCCCAACTTTATAATGGCAGAGATTTTGAAGTTCAATAAAGTACACCACAAGGCTCTGGGGGATTAGGCCTAATAAAGGCCTTCTAAAGCAAATCGATGCGTTTGTGTGAGAAAAATATCCATATTTAAAACTTTATAAACCGTAATCTATAGCATCCGCTAACTGTCATGCGCGCATTCACGAGAGAGTTGCGTTCCAGCAAATGACTCCGGTTGTATTCGTCTGAAAGAATAAAGTCATATACACCAAGGATGGTTTGAGGGTGAGTAAATCATGAGGTAATTTTCATTTTTCCATGATCTATCCCTTTAAGACAGAAGTGTCAAGTCTGGGCATTTAAGTAATTAAGCCATATTTATTTTATATCCATTCATTTGTTTATATATTATTTTTATTCGATTTATTTTTGCTTCATAAATCAGTATATTGCAAAACAAATGCTTATATGCACAAATGCTTATATTAATCAGGGTCCAAAATAAACTTTTGACAAGAAGTAGTAAATAAAATGGTTGGACATTACCTTTTTTAGTTGCAATGTAAGAACAAACAGTATGTTTTTATGCATTTGACATAATCAGAGTGAATAAAAAAAAAATTCAGTTTTTTATAGATTCTATACAGTTCCTTCTTTCGTTATTATGTTTGTTTAACATTCTCAGTTCACCTGGCATTGATAGACATGGCAACAACTTAATTATGCTCACTGTGTATAAACTTTTATGAGTATGTTTGGTTGAGTGCATGGGCTTATGTACAGTATATACTGTATATGGACATTCTTCTTTGCACATGCTTTCCCGGGTGGGTTTTAAATTCATTTATTTAAGGGACTCTTCGGACCTGTTGACAAGATTCATGTGTTATCTGCAGGGAAAAGACAAACACATACAGTCTACCTCTTTCTGCCAAAAGTCTGTTTCCCATCTTATCCTCTTCACGCTGTCATTTAATTCTGCACAACAGCTGATGACTCCTGTGACACCTGATATTACAGCTCAAACTGTACAGTTAAACTGTTTTTGTCATATAAGTCCTCTTTTTCACGTCTGGTCTCTTACTCTAATATCTGTCAAATATGGTCAAATACAAACATTCTTGTGTTTATATTGTTGTTTCTGATGTGCTTTTTTTTTGTCATGTCCCTTTAATGTTCACATTTAATGACATTATTTTTTCTATCATGACAGTGCCCCATGGTGATAAACATCAAGGACGTTTGGGGTCCAAATTTCCAAAGGGAACCAGAGAGCAACTTGGTAAACTCCTTCATGGATTTTAAATGCATGTATTAGAAGTTATCTTAGTTTTATCTCATAAGGGGGTTGCAATATCATATTTCCATTTCAATCCATGTGATGTTACTGTAGTTGTAAAGCCTGGTGTTGTGCTCTTTAGTTTATTGAGTGATTTTGTGGTTCCTGTCCCAGAAAACTGTGAATCCAATTGTGCATAGTTTTAGTTTGGATACAGTTTTAACATGATGTCTGAGATAGATGTCCCTGTTTGGTAGAAAACAAAAAAGAACGATTCCCTTGCAGCTGGATTTCATGACCATTCTGGGCCAAAGAAAATATTTATGTGCTGTTCATGTCATGATGGATTTTCAGAGCTTATGATTCTGTGGAAAAGCATGACAGATCAGCCATTGATAAACTTAGCCAGCCACTGATGAGAACCCAGGACCCTCTTTCACTTTCCTCATCAGCCTCTCCCAACCAAAGACAACACTGAAACTGAATAATAGAGAATCAAGCCACTCTGTCCTTACCCAATTGCTCATCCCATCCATCCAATCCGACTCATATTAGAAAGTCTGCTTGAACACATTTGGTAGACATATGATTACTTGAGGAAAATGTGAAACTGATCTTCATCCAACTTTTCTTAAAACCCTTCTATTCATACTAAATTAGGTTCCTGAAAATGATCTGGAATGTTTTGCGAATCGCATATTGGAATAATAGACCATTAGAGAGATGGCTGTTGGAAATAATTACGTTTGGAAATTGATTCATTGACAGGCTTTGGTCAATATTATCTCGCACTTCTATTTTGAGTGAATATGCAGCATTATAGCTGTGTAGTTCTGCACTCCATCATAGCATTGGTCCCTCAGAGCTATTCTAGGAGAAGCCGCAGTCCTAAGAGTCTGGACGGCATTAAAAGATCCCATTTGGCTCCCACAATACTCTGACTGTGCGGACATTAACCTGATGTCATGCATTATTTTTTTTAATTCCAACCATGTGAATGTTATGCAGAACATACTTTACCTTCACTTCTAAATGATAATCAGTGTGCAGTGTTTTTTATTTTGGCCTTGGAGATTTATAATAATGTGAAATAGCTGTTTCTTTATGCTGATCTGATTTTGAAAGTGAAAACAAAATTAAAAGGACTAACACAAAGAAAAAAGTCTTACTTTGAACTTTTTTAGCAGGCCATAGCAGCTCAAGCGGTCTTTTTTATTCAGATTAATCACAGCTACAGCATAATTTAATTTGTGGGTTTTTTTTAAATTATGGTCAAACTTTTCAGTTTGAAAAGTTTCAGTAACCACAAACAATTACCCTGTATCTCCTACTAATCTGGCGCCTTCTTTTACAGCGAATACAAAGCTGAACCAGGTCTCAGAGACTAAAGAAAAGGGTGAGGACACTAACAGACAAAGATATCAAAGTCCATATGGCGACAGTCTTGTTGGACATGCATGTGTTTCTTGCCAGTTAATGAAACATTTTCCATGTTAACTTTTAGAAAACATTATTGATCTGAAGCAGATGGACCCAGTACCAGATTTAAAACCTCTAGCTCCACCCACTACTGAAAGACCAGCCAAACAACGGCCATCATCGACAACAACACCACATTCTGTTTTTGAGGGTATGCTCTAATGCGAGTTATGTCATTTGTACAAGAACTATGATGAATACAACATACTAAATGCTGAAATTAGAGTGTTTCGGTGCCTATTTCTTCTAAAGTACTGCAAACATGCAAGACAATCTGTTGAGAATGAGAGAATTAATGTATCTAACAATTGGAGTAGTTGTAGTCTTGAATTTCTGGTCTTGTGGCGTTTCATGTTTGCCTTTGAATCTTAGGGAGTCGTTTTGACACCAGTGACAACTCCTCTGTATTCAGTTCTCATCCCCTCTCTGAGGTGGATGCCACGGGGAAGAAACGTTTCATAGGTAAGAATATGGGCTAAAAGCATTCATATTTTGGACCTACAGCACGGTCAGACAGAACTGTGTCTGATTTCTGATTCACAGTCTTTTGACAAGTGTTGGACCTCTGATTGGCTGTCCTCTATTTGCAGCGCCTCACGTGATCTATAGAACTGACAAACGTCCGGAGGAGCCATGCTCTGTCACTCACTCTCTCAACTTCTTTCCTGATGAGGAGATTGGATACTTGAATGTCACTGGCCCACCCAAGACCCCTCCATCCAACCTTACTGTGGTCACAGTGGAAGGATGCCCCTCCTTCATCATCCTTGACTGGGACAAAACAGACAATGAGACCACAGGTAGACAGAGCATTTGTTTACTGTCTTTGCTGGCTTAAACTAGACACAGTATTGAAGGAGGTGATGGACAATTTGAGAAATGAATGGGAAAAGTTGCAATGTCCAAAATGGCAGCTGTTGGAAAGAAAGTTAAAAGAGCCAACTGCCTTTTTTATGGCTGTGAAGTCTGTTTTTTACCTTTGGAATGTGCATTAGCTGGGCAAGCCTGAAAAATATTGGTTTTTAGCATTGGTTTGAGCTTAAGAAGCTAAATTTATGATTCCATTGTTGTCAGACTTTATTGCTAATTTGAAATATGGCTTTGAAAAGTTCTTTTGACAAATCTTAACAGATTTTTAGTCTTTCTCCATTCCAGCAGATAGAAGTTATACTTTATGTCCGTTACCTGCATAGAAAATAGCTGCCAAGATGGCCGTCAAGTGAACTGGCTTGCGATGAGTGGACTTTGGTTAAACTTACTTTAGTTGGATTTAACAAAATATATGAGATACAAAAATTAAAATTTTCATTATTTGCTCATTCCAAAATTAGGTCATTCCAAACCTATATTACTTTCTTCCATAGAATAAAGGAGATAGACTACTGTACAAAAGTTTGATATTTTAATGTTTTTGAAAGAAGCCTCTTATTCTCACTAAGGCTACATAAAGTAGAAACAGTAATATTGTGAAATAACTCTTTTTCTCTTTGAATATATTTTATGTAATGTTTTCCTGTGATGCAAAGCTTAATTTTCAGCATCATTACTCCAGTCTTTAGTGTCACATGGTCCTTCAGAAATCATTCTAATGTGCTTATTTGGTGCTCAAGAAACATTATTATTATTATTATTATTATCATAATTGGATTCTTTGATCATTAGAAAAGTAAAAGAAAAGAAAAAAATACCAAAAACTTTTGAACAGTAGTGTTTTTATTTATTTATTTACTTACTGGCTTGCTTATAGTACTTACTTACTTATCCCCAAAATCCAAATAGTATTGAAAAACACCATTAATGTAGTTCATTGAATAGAATAAAGCAGCTCAGACATTCTGGGAATCTCCTTTGATGTTCCGTTAAAAAATTTGAAACAACAAATTATGTTTCTGTTGTATCAATAGAATATGAGGTAGTTTCCTCCACCAAGGGTCCGCATGGAGAGGAGGTGTCTGTCCAGACAACAAATCAAACACATACAGCTGTGGAGAACCTGAAACCAGAGAGCAGGTATGAAGACACACACCATGTCATGGACTTTAATAGTTATTAAATTAAGCTAATAGCTACACACTAACTCATAGTCCTGCCCTTACAGACAACTTATTAAACAGCGTATCGTTTAGTGCTATTATGAAGCTGTTTTCGCTGTGGGGCCGTAAAGGTCCATTTAATGTTTGTTACAAGAAAATACACCTGATTAGTAATGTTTGGTTGTCTGCTCAACATAACATTGTTTCAGGATTATCAACTCTATTTTGTCTTGTAGTTATAAGTTCAAAGTTACACCCAAGAATGAGCTGGGTTCTGGCCCAGCCAGTGAACCGGTCACCTTCAGTACTGAGTCAGGTAAGCGGAGAAGAAATGTTAAATTAATTCATTGTGAATACATTGTGTGTTCAGAATATGTGTAAGAGTCTCAGCTAAAAGTCCCAGATCTGAAACCACAATCTGGTCTGAGCTCATTGTGAAATCATTTGGCTCATCCAGTGAATCTGAGCTCTGTTTGTTCTAGAAGTGTCACTGGGCCAGTTGTATCAACAAGAGAAGCTTTAATGGTTTTTACTTTTAGAGTTTTTGCACTATGTTTAAGCTCATCTTAAGCCATACAAGAGCCATGTGTGAAAAACAGACCTAAACATAAATCATTATTCACTTAAATCTCATTCATACTTCAAAACATTCGAAAGCATTGTGATTAGTCACAAGTTGCGTGAAAACTGATTATGTTTGACATCACTGAACAATTTAAAGAAACTGGCACTCATATGATAGAAGAGTCATGCAGGCCAAGGTAACGTAATAATGAGACATCAAGCTCACAGGTGTGTGTAATTGGCAATGCTGTAATGTATATGTATAATTAGCATATAAACATTACTGTCAGCAGTGAGAGTAATGTGCCTAATGTTCAACTAATAGTTCCAATGTGTTCTCTCTTCTGGCTCCTTTGCACTTATTTACTGTAGGTAAAGGGGCCCTGATAGACTGCCAGAAAATAATAATAACCATGAGGATATCTGACACAAGCTCTGGAAAATTGTACATCATGATAGTGAGGACATGTCAGGGGAATTTCTTGGGGCTTTGGATTTTTAATAACTTAAGTTGAAAACCATGCTGTTTCGTTATATTCAGGCGTTGAGTGTAATAATAATTACCTGAATGGCATATGTTTATATGTTTGGATCAGCCTAATTTATCTATGTATAGTTTCACAGTAGGTATGATAAAATAGTTTATTTCATTAACTTTTAGACGTACATTTGCATATACACTATGTTCAAAAGTTTGGGGTGAGTTTGATTTTTGTTTTTGAAAGAGATGATGCATTAAAGGTTTTTTTGTTTTCTATTTATCAAGGAATCCTAAAAACAAATGCATCACCGTTTCCACAAAAATATTAAGGAGCAAACTATTTTCAACTTTTGCAATAATACAAAATGTTTCTTGAGCACGTCAGAATGATTTCTGAAGGATCGTGTGACACTGAACTGACTGGATTAATGGCTGCTGAAAATTCAAAATGGAATAAATTACATTTGACAGTATATCCAAATAGTTATTTTACTGTTGTTTTTACTGTTTTTGATGAAAGAAACAAAATGCAGCCTTGGTGAGCGTAAGAGACTTGTTTCAAAAACAGAAACTAAATCTTACTGACCCCAAAATGTCACATCAACAATGCATTAAGTTGCAGTGACATCATGTTCTTCTGCATTGCAGCTGATCCTCGTGTGAGTGAGATCCAAACCGGTAAGAGCGCCAGTCACCTCAAGCATACAATATTACAAATAGAAAGACGCAATATGCCTATACCAACTGTACATGTGAGTCTAATCATTTATATTGGCTCTCATAGGTAAAAATGCCATCTGGTCATCGTTTCCATTCAAGTCTGACTCGTACTCCGAGTGCAATGGGCAGCAGTTCATAAAGCGGACCTGGTACCGCAAGTTTGTGGGTATCCAGTTGTGCAACTCTCTTAGATACAAGATCTATCTGAGCGACTCTCTCAAAGGTCCGTACAGTATTAACCATTTACCAACTCTACAGATATTTCTGTCATTTAGTTACTTTTTAGTTCTTTCTTTCTCCAGGGAAGTTCTACAGCATAGGAGATCAGACTGGGTATGGAGAGGATCACTGCCAATTTGTTGACTCGTTCCTGGACGGACGAACCAGTGGTCTTCTTCCACCAGATCAGTTACCACCCAGAAAAGGTTTCTAATAAAAACAGGTTTTATTTAACAAGAACACAGTAATCTAACACTAGTATGCGAGATATGACTATTTCTCCTGTCTTATCAAGGCTTTTACCGGGCCATGCGTCAAGAGCCTGTCAAGTTTGGGGACATCGGAGGAAATTCCATGATCAACTACGTGGCCTGGTATGAGTGTGGGATACCCATTCCTGGGAAGTGGTAGGACCCCGAGGAGCAGATGGAAGACGTGACGGATAAGAAACATCCGCTGCCTTTTTATGGGATGTTTGTGTAGAGAGAATGATTTCTTGAAAGCATGTATCTGTATTTTCAGGTATCGGGCACATATAGAATTATTTATATACTGAAGTAGTGCAGCAAACATACAGAGAGCTGAATGAATGTTCTTGTTGAGATTAAGAAGTTTAACTTTAGAGAATATAGGGAAGCAGGCTCCCTTAAAGGCAAAATGAATGTGTATATTATTTATCAAAACGTTAAATATGCCACTGAAACTAAAATGACCACGGCCAACTTAAAGGAATGTTCCAGGTTCAAAACAGGTTTTGTAGACGGCATCTATAACATTGTCATCACCGAAAATAATTTTTACTAACACAAATTATATTTGTATTATATAAATAAAATTTATGTAATATATGTATAATTATAAAAATATAATTAAATTTTTTATTCTATACTTATTACTTAAAAAACGTTTTTAGTTTTTATAAAAAAACGTTTTTATGATGAACTTTTGATCATGCACTACCAATGTAATTCCTAAAGGTGGATTTTTCTGTGTCAGCAGTCCTTTTTTGGACCTTGCAAGTATTGTGCAAAAGTTACCAGGTTTACTGGCTTTATATGGTCATTGTAGTTGAAAAATGGGACAGTCTACATTTGTACAGCTAGTACACTAGTCTTATGTGAATATCCCAATTAAATCTTTTGGCTTTATGAAATACTGTGCATTTTAATGTTTATCTGGGTGCAATGCTTTGCCCCATAGACTTTCATTGGTGCTTTATTTTTATTTTTTTCCCCAGAGTTGAATGATTTTTCTGTTATCGTCAATATGTCACAGATGCTGTTAACAACATGCTGAGTGTACTAAGCCGGAAACATTCCTTTAACAGCTCAAGCGCAATGCTAAACAAGGAATTTAAAGACTAGGTCATATAAACTGTTGTTCAAGACATGCAGCTTTTCAAGTAATTGTTGTAATTATACTATGTATGAATGTCAGAAATGCAACATCTCTTTAACAAGGAAGTCTATTGTTTTGTACAGAAGTTCAGTGACTCATGATTTCCAGAGAAAGCTTTTAAATGCCAGATTTTATGTAACTTGTTTTTACATTGAAACATTGATATATTTTATAAGGTTTAAAATGAATCTGCTTTACCAATAAAAGCACAAGCAAGTTTATTTTATGATCTCTTCTTTTTTTTTGGTGGCTAGTTTAAAATTGTTTCTGAATCTGACATGAAAAGATAAGTTTTCATGTTGTTGTTTTTTAATGCAATCCTGATCAGTTAAAGAAAGTTGTTAATTCCATGAACAAAAGAACAACGATCCCATCATTCAGTCTCAAAGTCTTTATTCACCTCCTGAAAACAATGTTACAGTTTATACAGAAATGACAAGCTTCACTGCAGAGGGCCAGTCAGGGGTTAGTAAAAACAAGGACATTGGGAAAAAGTAAAGAAAACTAAACAAATATCACTTACTTTGATTATGATAATTTTCTAGTGTTTAAACAGACTCATGGTTTATGACAAAATAACACCAATGAGGAGACCGTGATAAAATAAAATGCAAACACACACACACACACACAGCTGTCCACTCCCACACCATTTGGTCTCCCATGTGTGCAAACACACACATACAACCTCAGTCTCATTCTCACACGCATTCATTCAATCACGCAAAGCACAAACAAACACAATATTAGAATGTCAAACACAGATTTTGGGGGCTGATGTGTTGGAGACCGAGAAAACTTGTAGCGAGGTGCTGTGGGGACACGAAAGGCCTTTTACCGATAGCCAGGGCCTGGCTGGGTGTAGCCCTGGCCAAAAGGGGGGCGGTTTCGGGCATAGGGGTTGGCACCCCCAGGGGGAGGGGTGGTGCCAGGGGGCGGGGTGTATCCAGGACGGGGTTGATAACCCCCTGTGGCCTGGGAGGTTGGAGGCAGGCTGTAGTTAGCTGGCTGTTGAGAGGCCTGGGATGTGTAGTTTTGAGGCGGAAATGCTCCAGGCGGGTACTGGGTGGGTCCTTGGGGAGCAGGAGGCTGTGATTGGCCAGAAAACCCTGGGGCGGAGCCAGGAGCACCAGCAGCCTGAGAAGTAGGGGCGGGGTAATTCTGGAACTGCTGCTGAGGCGGCTGAGCCTGAGGAACACCAGACTGAGGAGTATAACCAGCTGAAAAAGAGGATTAAATTAATTATATATATATATATATATATATATATATATATATATATATGTGTATGTGTGTGTGCGGTTTAATTTTCTTTTGGAAACTTGATACTTTTTTTTCTGGATTTTTTGATGAATAAAAAGTAAAAAAAGAACTGCATTTATTTTAAAAAAGAAATATTTTGTAATAATATACACTACCGTTCAAATGTTTGGTCATTTTTTTCATAAAAAAAAAAAAAAAAAGAAATTAATGTGCAAGAATGCATTGTTAAATAAAAATTAAAAAAAAGTGATGGTAAAGACTTATAATTTGAATAAACGCAGTTCTTTAACTTTTTATTCATGAAATAATCCAGAAAAACGTATCACAGGTTCCCAAAAATATTAAGCAGCATATCTGTTTCCAACATTGATAATAAATCAGCATACTGTTAAAAAAATCTGAATGATTTCTTAAGGATCATGTGACACTGAAGTAGATTTGTGCCGGTATTTGGTAATGCGATATATCACGGTAATGAATATGCACGATATTGTTATCGTGGGCTCTTCTAAATACCGTTAATAATTATATATTACAAGTTATTCAGAATTTTGAATGCATTTTAAGAATACTTTTCCCATCAACTGCTCAAAATGCACAACACCGCTGTATGCTGCGTGAAAGACTCTGATGTATATAAGCGCGGACGAGAAGCACATGGCGGAACATGTGAGACGCTCTGGATGAACTGATAAAAGCATTAGCAATTAATCGCAACATGAAAATTTTATATCGGCATCCCCCTACACTGAAGCCTGGAGTAATGGATGATGAAAATTCATCTTTGCATCACATAATTAAGTTATATTTTACAGTGTATTAAAATAGAAAACCGTTATTTTAAATTGTAAAAATATTTCACAATATTACTGTTTTTTTTGCTGCAAACAAATAAGTTTTGTGTGGGTTTGTGTTTGTGTACGAGTGTGAGAGAACATGTGGGAGTACAGGTGGGTAACCTTCCTTCCTTCCAAAGGAGCATGACCTGCCAAATCAAGACCCGTCCTGCATTTCTCAAGTACACTTTGTTCAAACTAGTCAAAATGCATCTGTCCATGTTAGTTTTTATCCTAACCAGCTGCCAGACATTTCATTGACCGCTTTTTCTATTTTTGTCATGTTTTCTTTTATCCAAAACCCCATCATAACATATTAAACATCAAACATGTTCTAATTTGCTGTGATTTTGTCATTTCATGCAGCTTTTCGCTTACAAGGAGGACAAAAAATAAATAAAAAGCTCAATGCTGGAAGCTTGTCCCAATTCGCCTGGTCAGGATGTCAACAAGTGAACAACAAAATTAGATTATTTAGATAGCCAGACTATGTCTATATGATGAGGTAATCCAGAGGTTTGGCACTGTGTGCGAGTCTGGAATGTTCTTTCCTGAGTCCATATGTGTGAGAGCGGCAGCCACTTGAACAGTTCAAGACTCTTCAGAGATCACAGGAGCTCTAGCAGGCGTCCAACCCAGTCTCTGGGCGCCAGTCACACGTTTGGGATGCATACATGCACGTGATATTATACAACCATGAACCAGCACATTTGAACTCATAAAATCTTCTTCCCAAAATTCTCTTTAACTAGTTAAAGCGTCCAACAAAGGGCAGGGCTACATTTGCTGACATAAGACATGACATCATCTGGCTGGAGCATGGAGGCATTGGACAGTGTAGAGTGCAGACTTGACTAAAATGTAATTCATTTATTTTTATTAGGAAAAGAAACATGTATTTTGAGTTGGTACTTAAATCAGCTCATTCATTGTATTGAATAGGAGCATAAATAGTGGATTTAGTTAAACCCACACAGACTGCAACCTTTGATTTTGGCTAGGCTTGATAAATAAATCACGGTGTAAAATAGTGTATGAATCAAGCAGCCCAAATCTACAGGCTCTGCAGCATTTATGATAACACATTTGAAGAGTAGTCGGCATATGCTAAGAACTGGCACTGACACTGCAGTGCAGATGTACCGGCGTGTGCCAAACTTCACTAGAACAGAGCATGACGTTACTGGCAAGTAACCAAGTCCGATTTTCCTCTCGAGAATATTTGTTTGTGCCATGTACCAGTTAAAGAGTGTGGCTTTTCAGCACAGCTCACGTGATTGAAAGCAGACTGTCTGTAAGTCTGTAAAATGACCTAATATTTCTTAACGGAATAGTTCACCCAAAAATTAAAATTGCTATCACTAATATTTACTCACCACCAGGTTGTTCCAAACCTGTATGACTTTATTTCGTGCAGAACACAGAAGACGATATTTTGACAAATTGGAAACACTGGATCCCACTGACCTTAACTGTAAAGTTTTGGGTGAACTTTCTCTTCAGTCAGTGGTTCTCAAACTTTTTGACTCCAAGTCCCCTCACTTGTCCACAACAATATTTATTCAAAGGCCATAGTTTTGCTTTCAAAACTTATTTTTAATCTATGGGCATTTCTGTAAATTAAAAAATGTTTCAGGCGCTGAATGTTCTTCAGTGTTCCCACTCATTTTAACCAATTAATTTACAGTCATTCTCCGAACATAGTCAACTGTGATTTATTTGACAATGATTTTTAATTATTTAATTTGGCAATTTCAACCCAATAAAATATTTTAGAGCTTGGTATGAATAGTTAAATGTTTATTTTTATATATATATAAAATTTTTTAAGAATTTAGTCATATATTTACATGACTTTTCAGGTCTGAAAACAACACTTCCTCATTTATACAGGTTTTCTTTGAATAAAACAAACAAAAGATAAAAATAACATACAAAATATCTATATTTGTAGTAGTTTTATTTTAATGCTTGTTTTATCTTAATTGAAATTATTTTAAATCATCATGATGCTTCTTGCCTCCTGGTTGAGAACCACTGCTTTATGTAAACCTTCCTTGTTCAAATATCCAAGGCCACTGGTCACAATTAATGTTCTTAGAGAACAAATATCCTTTCTGTTTGAAGTAGTGCATTATATCTCTCAACATCTGAGATATGTTTAAAATCTATGTTCTGTTAAACCATATTAGTGGCCCAACAAATATCTGGACACCCAAATCACACTTAAAGGGGTCACCATCAGATTTTAATGTTCCATTGGCTCCAAAATCCAAATTCAAACCCCTGCTGATAATCTTACAAAGACAAACACATGGACTCATTATCAGTTCAAATCTTGTTCTATTGTGCCCTCTGCTGGACATTAAAAGCTGCAGCTGTGTTTATCCAACAAGAGAAAAACGACATCTCCTGGTTGGATGAAATATTACCAAATTCAGCATTTTTAAGGTTATAAGAGATTAACTCCGCAATATTACACCACCCATGCAATGTGGGATTATGTTCTTAGCAGAGAGTCCATTTAACCCAAAGATTACAGAACAACACTGTTTTCTGGGTCACAAAGACACATTGAGAAATCAAGAAGCTTTAACTTGATATGCCTCTTTTATTCTAGCATGTAAAACACCATTTAAAGGGCATAAAACAACTATAGGCTTTGACTACATTCTGCCCGATAAAATATTTTAGAGCTGCAACTATAAAAAGGTATGTAGCTCAAATGAGCTGCTTGGTTCTTATAGTCCTGTGAACCTTTCTGTTATTCTGTCAAGGGACACTCTGAGCACTGAAGTGTTTTTGGAATATGATCTCTCTGCAGGTAAGATAAACCTACACATGCTCACTGACATTAACTCTAGGCATGATTAGCACTGACGAGAACTGTTGTTGTGCCTGTATCTGTGGCCTGTTGTCATTTATAACAGAAAATAACTTGTGTATTTTACAAACCGAGGGACAAACAACAGAAATACATTTACAACTGAAACCTAATAGGCAAGTGGGCTGTGCTTCACATTTCAGCTTTTAAAGCACATCACTTAAACTACGTTGTTCTACATTGTACTTTTAAGCTGAGACTACTTTTTACACTGATTAACTTCTGGTTATGCATTACATAAATTAGTATTTGAATACTGTTACACGTAAACTATGCTTTTCAAAGAGATACAACACATTCATTTCATGCTCCTTCCTGGTATCTTTGTGCAGAAATATTCCTTAACATCAGGATGAGAAAAAACCCTTAAGCAGTGCTGATTTCTTACCAAAAAGTGTGAGCTTCAATATTCTACTGCACTGGATTGCAAAGGACAAATCAGAACTGTCAAAGATGGTGATATGGTCATCATCTGGAAGAGAGCAAAAAAAAAAAAGAATGAATGAATGCAGTACTTGCAGAGCTGCAGTTGAACCTAAAATAAAACTGTACCACATGTAAAATCAGTAGAGAGTATGAGATCTATCCCAAAACCCCCTAAGAAGGTTTATTAAGAACATCTATAGGTGTACAGATCTTACTAGTTTTATTCTGCATGACTAATAAAAAACGGTTAAATATACATATGCATGGTGTCAAGTTACTATAACCTTATAAGCAGAGGCGGACAAAGTACTCAACTCCATTACTTGAGTGAAAGTACAGATACTGCCGGTCAAATATTACTCCATTACAAGTAAAAGTTGTAAAGACTTATTTTTACTTAAATAAAAGTACAGAAGTACTTGCTTTTAAAAGTACTTAAGTACCAAAAGTAAATTTCCTTTTTTTCATTGTGTATGGGGATACGGCGGATATCATCGCCCAGCTGAGCTTTAATGATCAGCTTCCCACTCAAGTCCAGCTGGCCATTCATACTGCTGGAAAAAAGTACAATTTTATTTAAAATACTGTCTAATATATTTATAGATAAACTAAAAATATGCTTTTCATCAGCCAAGACCAATGCCATTATTAAAAATATATATATATATATATATGTATGTATGTATGATCAATTAGACATAAAGCTTTATAGGTTTATTGAAGCCTCTGTTCACATAAGTTAAAATATTTTAGATTTCTCTTCCCTCTCACCAGATACTGATGTAGCACCTCCTAGTCTATAAAAATAATGTGTGAAAGTGTTGTTTCAGAAGTAGATTTCTGAATAGCCAAATCAAAACAATTTACAACCAAAATAAGAAAAGAAAGTATTGATAATGCAAGCTAAAAAACGGATATAGATCATGCTAGATTTTTTCAATTCAAGCTTAAAATGAAATAATTCGTTTGAAATAAATGACAAGAAAATATTTAAAGAATTATTTTATTTATTTTTATTTTATTATAAAGTAATAAAAATGATGTGAATGGCTCTGTATTCTTGACATGAACTAAACATTTTGTAATCAAACAGAATTTCAGGTTTTAAATAACACGTTAAAACAAAAAAAAGCTAAACAATTTAAAAAGGTAAACATAATTTTAACATATGTGAATAAATGTAAAAAATCCAGATATTAAGCTTTGTTAGCTTACAAATGTGCATTTAAATTGTAAATATTTAAACATTTATAATAATTGCATGCATTGTACAGTAACAACTGAGACTGAGATAAATTCAAGTATACAACAGCATGTTTATTTCTTCTTCTTCTCTTGTGTTGAGTTGAACCAGGCATCTAGAAGCTTCTTGCTGTAGTAGATTTGCCATGCATGCACCTGAATAGCGATCACCATGAGTAGATACATCACAGATACGGCCGAGAAACCAAAGATAAACCGGTAAACTTTTCCGTGTCGGTACAGCTGCTGGGCCAGTGGAAACATTTCCATTGCACCAAAAATCAAGGGTGCCACTGAGAACAAACCAGCACTGATCATGGAGATCACCAGATAGCTGATGTTGTTCTTTGGCAAGGCCAGGGCTCCAATAAACGAGGGCAAGAGACTCAAAAGGTATGGATACTCCCACTGATAGGGCATGGCCACCAGATCATGTGACACCAGATTGAGATGACTAACAGCCACCTGAGCCGCCACCAGTATCCATATGAAGAAATGCACTACGGTGAGCTTCTTTATCTCTGATTTCAGTGAAGCACTGAAAGACATCAAAGTTCAGATACATATTCTGATATATACATATATGCAGTTATTGGTTATATGTTATATTGCTGTGAGAGTATAAGGCAGGGCTGTCCAAACTCGGTCCTGGAGGGCCGGTGTCCTGCAGAGTTTAGCTCCAACTTGCTTCAACACACCTGACTGCAAGTTTCTATGCCTAGTAAGAGCTTGATTAGCTGGTTCAGGTGTGTTTAATTAGGGTTGGAGCCAAACTCTGCAGGACACCGGCCCTCCAGGACTGAGTTTGGACAGTCCTGGTATAAGGGATAGTTACCTCATCTGATAGTGAGAAGCCACTTTCTCTCTATGTTTAAAATCACTCCCATCAGTCCCTGCAGCTCTTGGGCCCGCACGTGATGCCATTGCCGATTTCCAGATGACTGTAACAACGTGTAAATACAGTATATGCTATTCACAGACCCCAACACATGACATTCATTTTGCAAATTGCAACTTTTAATGTACAGAGCATAGAAATATCTAGCCACACAATAACTACTGTAACATCTAATACAGGCTCCCAGTATAGATAAATGACATAGTCCTGTAATATCTGAACATCTGCGCAACCTTACATAAAAAATTAAACCCGACATATAGCCCAAGCAAAGCGTGTGAATTTCACGTTTATAAACATAAAAGGTGAAGCATACAGATATATGTCTATTTACAATAATGAAATAAAGGCATCAAAAAATGGTCTATTTAAGACCATATAGGCACATATAGCGACCGGTTTCCGGATGAAGGATAATTTGACTGTTTGAACTGACAGACGGATCACTGTAAATTCAAAGTAGTTATTTCATGCGATGCGCCTTTTAATAAATTACTTACCGTATGAACTGATGAAACGCGCCAAAAGCACACAAAGGATCTTTATCAATGAAGGCAATAATATGTTGCTCATGCGCACAAACAGTGCAATAAAGAATGTCTCCGCCCCTCCGCGCAATGTGATTTGACAGCGCAGCATCTCGGTCTGCGCATCCTCAGCATCACCGAGTACTGATCCGGATGCGCTGGTTTGGCTCATGAATATTGAATAGGTTCCTGACCATTCTGATTTCCTGAAAGAAGAGGATGTAACAGCGGACCAATCCACCATTCTATGGTGAAGGCTAGGCTTATGAATATTAATTAGGACATGTCCAGGGAGGTTATCATAGAACGTAAGCATAATAAAATAACAGTTCAAAGAATATTTTACAATCTTTTTTCTCTCTCTTGTTGATGACTAAGAGACAAAGTTACCACAATAATTACTAGTATTGAATAGTAGGCCTATTATTCACAATAGAAACTGTCACATTTTTAAATGACTAATAAATGAACATAGACTTTAGGTGCAGAGATCAACTGCAAGAGATCACCTAATCTTTAGAGTACCTAATTTCATATATGGTAATAAGATTTTATTTCATTTATGTCATTGTAACAAAATTAGAGTACAATAATTTGATGGACATACAGTTATGGATGTAAATCATCTTTATTAAAAAATTCAAAGAAAAAGTCACAAACAAATGAAAATAAAAGGGGGTGGGAGGTACTCAAACGGATTTTCATTGGATTAGACAATGTTTGAACCGTCATTGAAAGTGACCGACATATAAAAACAAAGGTTATTATACAATCAGTAGTCAAAAAAGGGTAAAATTTCATCCAATAGTTGAAAAGCCAGCAGTTGAATTCAGAATAGGGTGGAAACAAAGGAAGTGATGTGATATATATGACTGATGATCATGAGATTTAAAGTATTGTGAGTAAAACTATAATTTTGATGAAAGTTCAATATAGAAACAGAAGTGGTTTTAAGACAAATTAATATTTAAAGTTTAAAACTAATCTTTTTGGGGGCGGGGAGTTTGGCTAAAATAAAATCTAGCACATACACACATGCTCTCTCATGCTCATGTACACACACACACACACACACACACACACACACACAGACAATACAAACAAATTCATACTTTGGTTGCAGTTCACACAGAGGTTGTGTTATAATATTACAAATGTGCAAAACCTTTAACATCTTTTTAAATCATTGATAAAGAAAGAGAAACATGATATGTGATATTTTTGAAAAACTGAATGGCTTTTCTCATCTCATTCAAAGCGAATACATTAGTTATCATGCAAATGTCATTAAAAATTGTGTTCTAAACATTTTAAAGCATGTATACTCATGTTGGATACCACCAATTAAACAAATACATAAATATGTTACAAAAACAATCTTTTAAAAAATCTGTTTAAATGTGGTATGGAATTGAATATTCTTTCTACAATCTGTGAGAGTTTTTGTGCAGGTTGTATCTTTACAGACACAGTATTCTGTAATTTAGCATTGCATATACTCATACAGTCTGTAGATTGATATTGTTTGGTTGTGTTTAAAGGAGCTGTTTCTATGAGTCTTCTTTCTTCCTTGTGAAAATACTGACATTTTTTTTAAAAGTCAAACATTTTAATGTCAGTTCTTTCTTCCCCTCTTTCTCCTTAAAATTCTTTCACTTATTCTTGTGGTCTACATTGGGTACAGTAAAAAGCCAGAGAAGGAAGAGTGGACATACTGTCCTGCATAAAATCCAGCTGCCTGGTCAGATGGTAACTGTAAATAAACTGTGTCTCCTGGTTGTAATGGAATCACAGCACTCCCAGATGCTTGATCCAGGTATCCCTTCTTGTACTCATCATATGTATACATAAGTGGCTCCCCATTCCTGTAGAGCCCAACCCATACATTGGCACCCTTGCAGTGCACATGATAGGCAAAATAGTATATGCCTGGGAGGTCACAGGTGAACACACCGGTCTGAGGGTTGTAATTCTGACGCCCATTATACAGTAATTTGTCAAGCACTATTGGCGTGCCAACTGGAGGGAATGGTGTGGTCAATTTGGCAGTGAAAGCAGGCATCTCCAGACCATTGGCACCCATCATATTACCCCCACCTGCATACTTCCCTTTCTTGTACCCACCAGTTTTTATACCATCTATGGCAGGGCCCATCTCAGGAAGAACACTCATCAGGTCAGGAGAAGGAGGGGGGCCTGGGGGTCCAGGAGGCCCCGCTGGACCTGGGAGTCCTGGCTGACCTGGGGATCCATTTGGGCCAGGTGGACCTGCTGGACCAACACGACCAGGGATTCCAGCAATGCCTTCACCAGGCGGACCAGCTTGACCTGGTGGACCAGCTTCTCCCTTTGGCCCGGAGGGTCCAGGAGAACCAATTGGTCCTCCTGGACCTGCAAGTCCTGGAATACCTTTAGGACCCTGTGGTCCTTCAGGGCCAGTCTGACCAGGTTCTCCTTTAAGACCAGGTAAGCCAGATGAACCTGGGGGACCAGGCAGACCTCTGCTTCCTCCTTCACCTTTGGGACCTATGGGTCCTGGTTGTCCTCTTGGCCCAGGTTCTCCATCTTCACCTTGGAGGCCTGGTTGACCAGGAAATCCTGGAGGACCTAGCTGTCCCATAGGTCCAGGATCTCCCTTGGCTCCTTCTGCCCCTCCCTCTCCTTTAAGTCCTGGGGAACCAATTCCTCCTGGTGCCCCCAATGTTCCTGGAGGGCCCGGAGGACCAGTTTGACCAGGGGGACCCGTCATGCCTGGTTGACCAGCGTAACCTTTGTCTCCTTTTGGTCCTTGAGGACCAGGAAGCCCTCCCATCCCTTTGTCACCCTTTGGGCCAGGGTATCCAGGTTTGCCAATTCCAGGTAATCCAGGTTTCCCAGGCAACCCTGGTGGTCCTTGTAATCCTTTGTGGCCAGGTGCACCTGGCTGTCCTGGTAATCCTTTTTCTCCTGGAACTCCAATACCAGGGGCTCCTTGTGGTCCTTGTAGGCCTTGTCCACCAGGTGAACCCTCTGGACCTGGCTCCCCAGGCTCTCCGGGTTTTCCTGGCATACCAGGTGGACCTGCTACACCAGGAAGGCCAGGCTTACTGACCCCCGGTAATCCTGCCTGCCCTGGGGGGCCAAGTGGCCCAATCGGCCCTTTTGGCCCTTGTGGGCCTGGTTGTCCAATTCCTCTGTCTCCTTTAGGTCCAGGTAACCCTCGGAGACCAGGAAAACCTTTATGTCCTGGCTCTCCCTTTGCCCCTGGCTGTCCTGGTAATCCTTGTCCACCAGGCTTTCCTATTCCTGGCAGGCCGGGGGGTCCAGGAGGGCCGGGTGGCCCAGTCACGCCTGGTTGTCCCTCTTCACCTCTGGGTCCCTGTTCACCTTGCTGTCCAGGCTGCCCAATACCTCCTTGCTTCCCGGGCATACCTGGCATTCCTGGCTTACCAACTCCCGGAAATCCTGGAGGACCAGGAGGTCCTGGCTTTCCAAGAGGGCCTTGTATACCAATACCTTGAGGCCCAGGTGGACCAGGGGGCCCTTGCGGTCCAGTCTCTCCTTGAACACCCTGCTCACCTCTGGGAATGGTTTCACCTTTGTAAGGGAAAGGCAGGGTCAGTATTACAATACCATGTATACCATATATAATATGACTACAAGTGCTAAGATACACAAGTTTTCATACCTTTGATATCTTTGCCTTTGTTTAGGTGCATTGGTAGGTCTTTTTTGTAGTGTGGATATGGCATGTGTGACATATCCTTTCCCATGCCCATATGAGGCATCTGTGGTAAGGGTTGATGTTGTTGAGGATGTGGTTTGTGTCCATAATATGCACCTTCAAACGCTGATGGCAATAGAGCCAAATGCACCAAAGCTACTAGGAAAGAAGCCATGGCCATGGCCTGTGGAAAAAAATAAAAAAATAAAAAAATTAATAATTCAATCAATAGTCAGTTAGGTTATCATTTAATTATCCAATATAGTAATACATCAATAAGTATTAACCATCCAATTAACTGATAATTAAACATAAATTATTTAAATGTATCTCAATCCATCAACAATTAATTTTAAACATAACTAAATAAAAACTAAATGACCATTAACAAGTTAGTAAAAGGACCTAATAAGTAATGTATAATATATATTGCTAGCAGTATCAATTAATTGTAATCTCTGCAGCACACCCTGTTGTCTGCTATGTAATAAAAACATTATAAACTAAAAATATTGTATACCATGTTAAAACATTAAACTAACAAAACACTACCAAAGTGCCCACTGAGAGATCACATACAAGCACAATACACTTTTTCCTTCACAAAGGAAGATTATGCAACTATTCATTATAATTTTAATATTATTTTAGCTAAAAACAAAACAAAAAACATCAACAACAGTTTTACCTTGAAATTTAATCATACCCATTTTATGATAATTTCCAAATCCACAGATCCAGGCCATTTAGTTTAAAATGTTAAGTGTAAATGTCTAAGAACAAAAGAGACAATGTCTCTTTCAAAAAAACATTAAAAATCCTACTCCTACCCCAGACTTTTCAACTTAGTGTAATTAATAATATAATAACACATTTCAGTGTTAACATCACCTCCTGTAATTATGCAATCATCTCATACCTTCTTCAAATGTTTGATTTGAGATTAGACATGACTTTCTCAGTTATCTAAATTTAGCCTATACTCTTAAACATGACCTTGCTTTTAAACTGTAAAAGCAAGTCAAACGACAGGAAGCAACCTGTTTATTGGAATTTCTCACTTCTAAGGATCTCTAGTGAAGTTCTAAGTAACTAGAAAGGAACTTTCAGTAGTTTACCTTTCACACTGCAGAAATCCCAGACAGTAAACAGTGGGTGTTCATGCATGCTTACATTGTTATATTTCCATTTAATGTTTTGCTTGTCTCTAGTTACATGACAAAATAAGCTTTCATAACACATTGATGCTTCATGTTTTATTAAAAAACTAAAATAAAAAAACAATACCAACAAGATGTGAATGAAACAAAGATTGCCTCAAAATGACGGAAGTGATGGAGCTGACCTTTGGCTTTTTCTCAAGCTCCTGAGAATCACACAGATATGCTATGTGCCATCTAGGTTTTCCGCTCTTTGAGACTTTGCGATGTAATGATATAGTTTCTGGTCAAGGACCGATCAGGATGAGCTGTACACTATCATAAATCATTTAAAATCTGATTTAGCATCATGTAACGCTAATAATAATGTCCACTATACATCAAAAGCTTGTTAAAAAACCATTAACATGTATATGTGCCTAATTAATTAAGTGTAATGTATTTCCATTACATATTAATAAAGTGTAATGACAACATTTATCAAATGATGTCGTATAAGGCATATTTTTATCCAACTACAAACATTTATTGTTGGCTACAACTATAAGACCATATTAATCAAATCACACACATTCTCAAATGCAATACTAATGTAACTAACAGTTTTCTTATGTTCAAGAGAAAAATGAAAATGCAGAAGAGAAGAAAAAGAACAAAAAGATGAATGTAAGCCAAAGTCCCTTTCAAGAAAGTTTGTTTACTCAGCGGCCATTTCTGCAATGTCTCCAGGTAGCTATTTTGGGCATCCAAGTCCTATCTACCTGAATGGGGAAGTCCCATATCTCAAAAACCGCTTGCCCCTTTTAAATAACATATTTCAAATCAGCAACAAAATCTGACATGAAAAACAATGAGTGAAACACTGATGTAGACCTTTTCACCCTAACAGCTGGCATCTTTTCGCTTCTTCACTCTCTCACATTCTCTCCCAGGCCTTTTTTTGGCCTTTTATTTTACAATTTTTAAAAAGGTTGGACACAGAGTCTCATTCACTCACAAAAAAAAAAATTGCAAGATCAAATCAGTAAACAAGCACAATGTGATGAGGAGGAAAGGCACTCAGTAACATAAGCGCTAACATTAGCATTTTGATTAGCTAAGCATTACTGCAATGACTAGAACAACATACACATACCAGTGAGGATTATAATCAGAAGTGTAAAAGATAAGTGATTTGATTTATTTATTTTTTGATGGTCTAAACATATACTGTAAAAGCTAACGTCCTGAAACCTTGACACATAATAATAAATTCACAGGAATTAGGAGATGTATATATGGATGTCCATATTTAAATGAAATTATCAACAAAGGTTAATATTAGATATTTCTGTGATACCTTAATTATTTTATGGCATAACAAATATGGCACATATTTATCATAACTCTTGGTTTTAGTTTATAGTGTTTTGTAATAGATTACAGTACCGTTCAACGGTTAGGGGTCAATGTGATTTTTTTAATGAATTTTATTCAGCAAGGGTGCATTAAACTGATGAAAAGTTACTGTAAAGACATTCATTGTTATTCATGTTATTTCTTTTTCAAGATTTTTATTTTAAAAATGCTGTTCCTTGAAAAAAGTATCAAGGTTTCCATAAAAATGTTAAGCAGCACAACCATTTTCACGATTCAGAAGAATTTGTAGAGCACAAGTATATTAGAATGATTTCTGAAGGATCATGTGACAGTGAAGACTGGAGTAATGGCTCCTGAAAATACAGCTTTGCATCAAAGCAATAAATTACAATTTCAAATACAAAATAGTCATTTTAAATAGTAAAAGGTTTAACAGTACTTTTGATAAAATAAAAGCAGCCTTGGTGAAGATTAGAGACTTTGTTCAGTAAATAAATAATAAAATAAAATCTTACCAATCTACATTTTTGAACAGTAATGTATATTAAATTAATAGTATAATATCAGTTTCAATGTTAACATCACCTTTCATAATCACATAGTCTTCAATCTTTTTCATTTGATATTATACAACTCTGAAGAAATGAGACGCCAACTCTGTGGCGTCTAAATTTAGCCTATACTTTTAAACGTGGCCTCTGAACCCAGTAAAAATTGAAAGTCCTCCATGCTATTTGTGAAATGTTCTTCTGGAATCCCATCGCTTCAGTAACTGAATGCATGAACACCTCAGCAAATAAGTCTAGTTAAACACTCACATTCAGCCTCTCACTGAGACCCAGATGGCCAACAGTGTTTACAGAAATTCTTCCTTGCTCTTGTCCGCCTAGTCCCTCATTCTTCCCTTCTGTCTTTCATTTCATTCAGTCTCTCACACCCTTTTCTCCCATCTTTACAGAGCGTTGCGTTCACAAAGAAACACATAAATCATCAATGACAACACTTTTATTCTGGCTCTTTATGGGAAGAAAGGAGAGGGGTGATTTTTGGTGCAAACCAAGGGAGGATTTCAAGAGGCCATGATGCAGTATGCCAATATATTTACACTATCTGTTGAACTACTTGGCTAATATCTTTTTTTTTTTTTACAGAAATCTTCATACATGAAATGTTGATTTACGTTCAATACTTTTAATATGTGAGAGAATTAAGAGTGTGGATTTATATGAGGGACAAGAAACTAGCACAGCTAGGAAAGTAGATGTCAACGATCAAATACAAATGAACTGTAACAAAATTGTATGTTGGAGTTATATTAGCATTCAATTTCCAAACTGAATTAACTGATGTATGAAACTGTGATCCAGGAACAATTGGATTCTGGGAATCCAGATTGATGAGACAGAGACTGTACTAACATGCTTGTGTTGTTGCAGACCAATCAAAAGGTGTAAAAAATTCATAATCCAGTCAACCTACAGCAGTTAATGTCTCATTTTAACTCCCAGCCCAGCTGTGAAACAAACAGGCCTCTCTGAGCTAAAACAGGGTCATTCTCTCTAAGCATCTGTTGGGTCACTTAGAAGCATTTTAACAGCTGAGCGTTAATAAGAGTGAGAAACACAGCAAGGGTCTGCTAGCCTCAAAGTGCATGTGTGGAGAGAGAAGAATGCCTGTAGAAGAGAAAGAATTTAGCACTACTAGATTAATATATTAGATTGGAAAATAGATTTGTAAAAAGATTTCAGATTTTTATGCTATTTATGTACAGAAATCCTGATATATTACAATAATTAATAACACATTGAGATCTCTTCAATCACCAACGCAACACTTGTCAAAATGACAAATAAATTGGAAAAAATCATGCTGCTCAGTGCTCACGTACTATGACCATTAATAACATTTAGGATTGAATTGAGAGCCCCTTTCCGTCTATCATCCACTCACCTAAGTGTAGATAAATTCATGGCAAATTAATTTATGCCCCTGTCTTTCAGTTTCACTTGTTATGCAATCCTTTATTTATTTGGATTGACGTTTTGGATAAATTTGAACGTTTCTCTTCACCTGTTGTCTCACATGTAGGTTTGATGACACACTAAAGTGATAGTGAAAGCTGATTGGCTTTAATGGTTCCCTCCGACAATTATCGGTTATATTTGCAAAGAGAGACAACTTCATTTTTTTTTTCTTTTTAGTATTACTCGCACGTATTAATCTCCAACAATAATACAGCATCGCAGAGAACTTGAACAAGCAGGGCAATACAGAAAGACAGAAAATGCAATTTGTTAAAAAAGTTCCATAGGATGTTTTTGAAGGTTTTTTTTATTATTGGAGGAGCTTTATATTTAAACGTCATTTTATTAGTACACATATCCGAAGCAAGTACTTTGGAATTAGTTTTGAAGGAATGTCACTTCAGCTATAAGCAAGCAACATCGCAATTCTGATTGGTCAGTTTAGTAATAAGAAGAGCCTTTATGCTGTCGGGCTCCTCTAACATTTGTGTAGCGATTAAACTACCAGCAGAAGGAGTGCGAATGGTTACTGGCCAAATATTAGCTGATTAATCTGCCATCAACCTATTGCTAACTTCAATAGAACTTAATAAAGGTGCCAAAAATCACTCATAGCATTACGATTGCTGACTCTGTTA